GCTCTGCCCCGAGCCTTAACGCCGACCTCGGGGCCCCTGGGGCCGAGCAGCCGTCGAGCACGGCGCTGAAGTTGAAGCGCCGGCAGCCGTGCGTGCACCAGCGCGCCGACACGATGAGGCGCGCGCTCGCGAGGCACAAGGGACCGAGAGACGGCTGTCGATCTGACGGCTCCGTCGGGCAAGCGACGCGCGCCTGCTGGCCTCCCACACCGTGCGCCGCCGCCCCGGAGGCTCGGGCCTCGGGGCCAGCACAGGTCGATGCGGCTCGGAGAGCATGCCGCAGAGAGGGCGGGGTGCAGGGCGCTCCCCGCGCGCAAGTTCGGATCTCAGAGGCTGGCGCGCGCCGCTCTCGCCCCCGCGCCCGCCGCCCGCGCGCGCCGCCCCCGCGGATGCCTCGGGGCAGGGGCTCGTTGTGGCCCATGGGGGTCCCCAAGCGGTGCGGTGCGCTGGCCACCCCGTGTGGTGAGTTGGCGGGGATTCGGGCCGACCGTGGGGCTCGGGTCGCCTTGCGGGGACGTCTCGGGAGGCCGGGGCCTCCGAGGTCCCAAGGCCGCACCGTTGTGGGACTCGGGTCGGTCGCTCTCCGAGGACGTCTCGGGCGACGGGGGCCTCCGAGGTCCAACAACCGTGCCAGTAGTGCCGGACCGTGCGGGCAGGTCTTTGGGGATGGCGAGGTCACCGCACGGTCCTTCACCGCTCCTTTTCGGGACTGTCAGTGTGACGTTCGAGCTGTCACTGCGCTGATAAGACCGGCGATGCAGAGCCAAAGATGTTCCGCCTGCTCCTGCATGCGCGTCACAGAGAGGGGCAATACGTGATCAGCAGATGCGTCCAGGAGCGGGACAGATACATCGGCGTGCACGGCAACCATCTATGTCAATATGTCAACACGCGGGGACGGTGACTGGGCCCTCGCTTTCGCCAGGCGGGCTGTGGTATGAGAATCGGCAGGAAGGCGCGGGATCCAAACAGTCAAGGCAGCAAACGGCTCGGGCATGTCTCTGCGAGTGCGCCAGCCGGGTTGGCTGGGGGCCAAGGGGGGCCAAGAGCGGGCAGGTATGCCAGGGGGCCATGGCACACAACGAAAGAAGCCGTTGGATCCCTTTTTCGTTTGTGCGCTTGCCAGACGACGGCCAGTGGACGGCAAGCAGCGCGTGTTGGGAGCCAGAAGACGGCAGGAAGGCACCAGAGCCGTGACTCGTAATGGCAGTTGTTGTCCACGCGCTCGCGAGGCGGTCGGGGGGCAATGTAGCTGGCAGGTGCAGCGGGGAGCAATGAGCGGCAAGAACACGAGTCACGCGGGCCTCTTTTCGCAGTCTGCCTGGCCCCAGTGCGGGCGCCCTCGGAGTGAGCTTCCTGGCAGCTGCTCTGGTCACGCGACGATGTGCGCTGGCACGCTCGGAGTGAGCGGTATTCCTGGGAGCAGCGCTGGGCGATGCAATGTGCCTGGCCCACGAGCAGATGCTCGGGTTGAGCGCTTTGGCAGCTGAACGCGGTGATCCCGCTCTTGTCATTTTCATCCCTCCGCCTCCTTTCTCCTAACCGTCCTGTTGTGCTGGGTCCTCGTTTCGGAGAGACGGTCCCCGCGTTCCTCCTCCCTCCTTCCTCCCTCTTCCTCCCCCTCCCTCCTCCCCCTCCTCCCTGCGATTCACTCACCCAGTACACCGTTTCGTGGCCCAATAGGGAGCTCCACCGAAGGCGCCAGTGGCAGGGTTCGCATGGCGGTCTCGGGCCATTTCGGCACGTCCCTCGCGAGGATCGTAGCCCCACAGGAGCTCCATCGAAGGCGCCAGTGGCAGGGTTCGCATGGCGGCCTCGGGCCATTTCGGCACACCCCGCACGAGGATCGTGGCCCCATAGGAGCTCCACCGGAGGCGCCAGTGGCAGGGTTCGCATGGCGGCCTCGGGTCATTTTGGCACGCCCCCTTCATGACGATCGTGGCCCCATCGGAGCTCCATCGAGGGCGCCAGTGGCAGGGTTCGCATGGCGGCCTCGGGCCATTGGTGGCACACCCCTCACGAGGACCGTGGCCACACAGGGAGCTCCACCGAAGGCGCCAGTGGCAGAGTTCGCATGGCGGCCTCGGGCCATTTCGGCACACCCCTCGCGAGGATCGTGGCTCCCGACGTAACTCCACCGAAGGCGCCAGTGGCAGGGTTTGCATGGCGGCCTCGGGCCATTTGGGCACGCCCCAATCACATGGATCGTGGCCCCAAGGAGCTCCACCGAAGGTCCCAGTGGCAGGGTTCGCATGGCGGCCTCGGGCCATTTGGGCACGTCCCCTTCACAAGGATCGTGGCCCCATAGACAGCTCCACCGAAAGAGTCAGTGGCAGGGTTCGCATGGCGGCCTCGGGCCATTTGGGCACGCCCCAATCACATGGATCGTGGCCCCAAGGAGCTCCACCGAAGGCGCCAGTGGCAGGGTTCGCATGGCGGCCTCACTCCAATTCGGCACACCGATCACGAGGATCGTGGCCCCATCGGAGCTCTACCGACGGCGCCAGTGGCAGGGTTTGCATGGCGGCCCCGCCCCATTTGGGCATTCCCCATCACGAGGATGGTGGCCCCATAGGAGCTCGACCGAAGGCGCCAGTAGCAAGGTTCACATCGCGGCCTCGGGCCATTTCGGCACACCCCTCACCAGGATCGTAGCCCCATATGGAGCCCCACCGAAGGCGCCAGTGGCAGGGTTCGCATGGCGGCCCCGCCACATTTGGGCATTCCCCTCACGAGGATCGTGGCCCCATAGGAGCTCCACCGAAGGCGCCGGTGGCAGGGTTCGCGTGGCGGCCTCGGGCCATTTCGGCACACCTCTCACGAGGATCGTGGCCTTATATGAGCTCCACCGACGGCGCCAGTGGCAGGGTTCGCATGGCGGCCCTGCCCCATTTTGGCACGCCCCCTTCACGAGGATCGTGGCCCCATAGGGAGCTCCACCGAAGGCGCCAATTGGTTCGCATGGCGGCCCCGCCCCATTTGGGCATTCCCCTCACGAGGATCGTGGCCCCGTGGGGAGCTCCAGGGTTCGCACGAGTTCTTCCTGGCAGTGTCGCCGGAGGGCATGCGGAAGCAGCTGGAGCAGTTTGCGGCGCGCACCAAGCGGTGCCGAAGGGAGGCGACGGCCCTCGCCAGGGAGCTGGGCTTTACGGAGTTTATCCGCGAGGCTTGCCCGAACCTCGCCGTCTCTCGACGGCGTGATTGTGTGGCCTTGCGCCGCGGACGACCCGCGCGCGTCGGTGGGACCCTCTCGGGGCGACCAGCGCGCGCCGCGGGAACTCCATGCTGCGCTATGCTGCCCAGCGCCTCGCTCGCCCCCGTCGTCGGTCTGCCCAGTGGCCAGATCCTTGCCCGCTATCAGCCAGCCAGCTAGCTTTCTCTGCTCCGCGCAGCGGAACCGCGCGCGTCGCCGGGACCCCTTCGGGGCGACTGGCGCGCGTCGCGGGGGCTCCATGAGGCACCGCAACCGCACCCGCGCCCAGATTCACCCGCTCTCAGTTTCTCGCATGCAGACATGTCGTCTTCGTTCGCGTTGTGCACCCCGCCACGCATTTCGGCGCGCCCTCGCGCGGTTCGTGGCCACGTAGTGGGCGCGGGCGAAGATGGTATTCACAATTGCGGCATTCGCAACCGCATATGGTTGGGCTTTCGCTGGCATGATTTTCATTATCTGTAACTCGCTGGGATAATTGTGTTCCGCCCCCCTGTGCGCTGTAGCTCACCCCGCTCCACCTTCACCCTTACAGTGGAGTCCCATGCCCAACAAAACGCTGCTCGCCTCCAGGGTGCTCTTGGTTCTTTGGGTTTCCATGGTTCTGCTGTGGAAAGCGTGACGTTCCAACACCAAGAATTAGTAGGCACCCTCGGGGGTCAGGCTTGGGTTTCTTGTGGAAGGTTTCTCGTGGGCTGGCCTCCACCGTATCCTTCCCTCTTCTCGCTGCTTGCGCTGACTCTCTTCGCCACCCCGTGATCATCATCATTTGTTATTTTCCTCCGCTTCCGGCCATCCTGGTGCCTCTCCTGCCATCATTGTCCTATCCTGCCATCCTGGTGCCTCTCGTCCTGTTCTGCTTCTTTATGTCCTGCTGTCCCCTCTTCCCTGTCGTGTTTCTACTGATGCCCCTTCTCCGCCTTTTCCTTGTCCTTCTCCTCTTCCTCCTCCTCCTCCTTTTTTCTCCTCCTCCTCCTCCTCCTCTTTTTTCTCCTCCTCAACCACCTCCTCGTCCCCCTCCTCCTCTTCCTTCCTCCTCCTCCTCCTCCTCCTCCTCCTCTTCCTCCTCCTCCTCCTCCTCATCATCCCCCTGTTCGTCGTCGTCGTCCTCCTCGCTCCTCCTCCATTTTCGTCCTTTTTCCTCCTCCTCCTCCTCCTCCTCTTCCTCCCTGCTCCTTCTTCATCCTCATGTTCCTTCGCTTGCTGCTGCTGCTGCTGCTGCTTTTCATCCGTCCCCGCCCCCTCCCTTCTCTTCCTTTTTCAGCGGCCGCGGGTCGTGGCTGGCCGGGCGCACCGCGTACAGGGGTGACGAAGCGTCCAGCGCGCACCCTGGCTGACCCCAGCGAAACAGCCGGGTGGCCGTCGTGGTATGCCGAGGGCTTCGCCTCTCTAAAGCGGCCCCAGAAGAGCCCCAGACGAAATCGCGGAAACCTCCGCTGCTGCTGCTGCTGCTCATTTCAGACGGGGCCAGAACGAGGATGAATCCATTCCAGCGTTCCAGAGACCTCTCCAGGGGACTCGGAGCGCTCCGAGGACGTCGCGGCGCCCGAGGCAGCCTGCACAGCCGCGGGATCTGAGATGTTCTGGATGTATCCTCACCCGAATTTGTCCTTGCCCTGACTCCGTCATAGTCGCGGGGTTTCGAGAGGTGCACCCGGGGCCCGCGCCGCGGTCACGACGGAGCCACGGAGGTCTTTTTCCTTCTCCTTCTCCTCCTCCTCCTCCTCGTCCTCCTCCTCGTCCTCCTCCTCCTCCTTCTCCTCCTTCCTCCCCCCTCAATCCCACCGAGGTCTGTGCTGGAGTGGCGGGGCCACTTCGGCTGGATCGAGCCGGACGGGTGGATAGATCATCCGGAGGCGCCCGCGCGGGCGCGCCCCACCCCGGCCCCGCAGGTTCGGGGTTGCTCGTCGGGGTGCAGCTCCCGGGAGGTTCCATGCAGCATCGCGAGCGAGCGAGAAGCCGTAAAGGGCAGTTTTCAATACATTGGATTTTGGAACATATATGATTTTTGATACATGGTTAATGTATGAATAAATCCATGCATGAACTCATCGTTGCTTTTAATACTGAATCCCTGCACTTTTAATACATGATCCGCACGCGGAGCATGTATTAAAAACGGCACTATACCCAGACCCCCTCGGGTAATGAACGAATCATGACGGGCGGTGTTTCGCCATTTTCGTCCTCTGGGGGCCCTCACCGGCCCTCCGGGCCGTCAACAAAGCAGCGTGAGGATGAAAAACGGGTAACGGGGAATGGGTCAAGACTTGCGGGGGTCGACGTCATGAAACAATCATGACGTCGAGGGTTTGGGTACGCCATTCGGCGCGAATCCAGCTGAATGGCCCATTTGATTCTCGATCTTACGAAGACCTCCGGGGCAACGATAGGGGAGGGATCGGCATTAGGGGGGGATGCATCGACCCCCTGTCGCCCATTGATGGCCGATAGGGGCCCGATAGCCCCAACCTGCCCAGGAGGGTGCGAATTCACTATTGGAGGCCTATCCGATCTATCGGCGATGTCTCGCCGACTCCAGGTCGATGCATCCCCCCCTATGCCAGCCCCCCCCTATCGTCGCCCCTCAGGGCCTCCCAGGAGTTGCTTCCCAACGCAGGCTCGGGGTGGATGGGTGGAGGAGGAGAACACGGAGGGAGAGGAGTGGAGGAGGGGCACTTGCAGCCGCTTCGCGCCGCTGGCGCGGCGGCGATGCCCGGCGCGGGCTCGCAGGGGCCTCGGGCGGGGCGGCCCGCCACATGGAGTGTTTCACGGGCTGCTGAGGGCTTCCGTGAGCGCTCGGGGGGGTCCTTTGATGGGCTTGTTTTCCACCACCACCACCATAAGTAGGAGGAAGAGGAGGAGGAGGAGGAGGAGAAGGAGGAGGAGGAGGAGGAGGAGGAGGACCCCCTCCCCCTCCAACTTATGGTGGTGGTGGTGGAAAACAAGCCCATCATCCTTGGGAGATTCCAGGGGTGTCTTCTGGTGGGTCTCAGGAGGGGCCGGGCGCCGGACGTGGAGGGGGATGCGCCGTTCGGATGTTGGCGCTCCCTGGTTGCGGCACGCTGTTGCACAGGAAGAACGGATGCCTCGGAAGGGTGCCAAGGAGCGGGAGGGAGGACAAGCGGGACCACGCCCGCTTGTCGAGGTCTCGCAAGGGCAGGCCGCGCGCTCAACGTCAACACATTCGGATGGATTTCCATGGCGCAGTCAGATTTCCATCTCTCTCTCTCTCTCATTCTCTCTTTCTCCCTCTCTCTCTCTCTCCCTCTCTCTCTTTCTTTGCTTCCAAGCGTGTGTCTATATACACGTATATGATCGGAGGTTGGGGGGTGAGATCGCTGTGGAACGGAGACCCCAACTGGGAAATCGTTTAGTTTCGCTCTTGTCCGTGCGGGCGAGGCGAAGCTGCGTGGGCGCGCGAGAGGACTGAACCTGCCGTTGCTTGGGCGAAGTCAAGACACATGATTATCCCCCGCCCGCCCGCCCGTCCAGCGGTGGCTCGCGGTGTCCCCTGGTGTCCCGTGGTGTCCCTTGGTGTCCGCCGTTGCTAGGGCGAAGTCAAGACAAATGATTCTCTCCCTCCCGCCCGTCTGGCGGCGGCTCGCGGTGTCCTGCGGTGCCCCGTGGTGTCCCGTGGTGCCCCGTGGTGTCCGCCGTTGCGAAGGTGAAGTCAAGACAAATGATTCTCCCCCGCCCGCCCGCCCGTCCGTCCGTCCGTCCGGCGGTGGCTCGCGGTGTCCCGCGGTGTCCCGTGGTGTCCCGCGGTGTCCTTTGGTGTCCCGTGGTGTCCCGTTGAGTGAGATCGATATTGAGATCGATAGTGAAACCGATAGTGATATCAATAGTTAGATCGATACTGAGATCGATACTGAGATCGATGAGGTGCCCCGAGGTGTCCCATGGTGTCCCGTGGTGTCCCAAAAAGTGAGATCGATAGTGAGATCGGTAGTGAGATCGACAGGTGTCCGTTGGTGTTTCGTGGTGTCCCGTTTAGTGAGATCGATAGTGATATCGATATTCAGATCGATATGGTGCCCCGAGGTTTCCCGTGGTGTCCCAAAAAGTGAGATCGATAGTGAGATCGATAGTGAGATCGACAGGTGTCCCGTGGTGTCCCGTGGTGTCCCGTTGAGTCAGATCGATATTGAGAGCGATGGTGAGATCGATGTGGTGTCCCGAGGTGTCCAGTGGTGTCCCGTTTTGTCATATGTCCCGTTTAGTGAGATCGATAGTTAGATCGATAGTGAGAGCGATAGTGAGATCGATGTGGTGCCCCGAGGTGTTCCGTGGTATCCCGTTTAGTGAGATCGATAGTAAGATCGATAGTGAAATCGATAGTGAGATAGATATTGAGATCGATGTGGTGCCACGAGATGTCCTGTGGTGTCCCGTTTAGTGAGATCGATAGTGAGATCGACAGGTGTCCCGTGGTGTCCCGTGGTGTGCCGTTGAGTCAGATCGATAGTGAGAGCGATGGTGAGATCGATGTGGTGTCCCGAGGTGTTCCGTGGTGTCCCGTGGTGCCGTATGTCCCGTTGAGTGAGATCGATAGTTAGATCGATAGTGAGATCGATAGTGAGATCGATGTGGTGCCCCGAGGTTTCCCGTGGTATCCCGTTTTTGATAATGCGATCAATATAGCGATCGATGAGGTGCCCCGAGGTGTTCCGTGGTGTCCCAAAAAGTGAGATCGATAGTGAGATCGATAGTGAGATCGACGGGTGTCCGTTGGTGTCCCGTGGTGTCCCTTTTAGTGAGATCGATAGTTAGATCGATAGTGAGATCGATATTGAGATCGATGTGGTGCCCCGAGGTGTCCCGTGGTATCCCGTTGAGTCAGATCGATAGTGAGATCGATAGTGAGATCGATGTGGTGCCCCGAGGTGTTCCGTGGTGTCCCGTTGAGTGAGATCGATAGTGAGATCGATAGTGAGATCGACACGTGTCCCGTGGTGTCCCGTGGTGTCCCGTTGAGTCAGATCGTTAGTCCAAAAAGTGAGATCGATAGTGAGATCGATGGTGAGATCGACGGGTGTCCGTTGGTGTCCCGTGGTGTCCCGTTTAGTGAGATCGATAGTTAGATCGATAGTGAGATCGATCCTGAGATCGATGTGGTGCCCCGAGGTGTCCCGTGTCATCCCGTTGAGTCAGATCGATAGTGAGATCGATAGTGAGATCGACACGTGTCCCGTGGTGTCCCGTGGTGTCCCGTTGAGTCAGATCGTTAGTGAGATCGACCGAGTCAGATGTTGGTTCCCCCCCTCTCTCCCCTTCCCACAACCTCCTTCACACCCGAAGGGTGGTCGTATAGGTACATACCTATACGACCACCCTTCGGGTGACAAGGAGGTCCGGGGGGGCCCCCCTCGTGTCTGGTGGGGGAGGAGGATCGAGCGTCGCGGTCCGACGTTTTTGCGGTGGCGGGGTCGCCGTCCTCGCCGCCATGCCGCAGGGCAGGGCCGTGCTGCAAGGCAGCGGCCCGGGTCGGATTGCCGCCCGCCCCCTCAACGGCACCGCAACGGGTACTTACTAACGGGTACTTTGAACTTTTGCCGAAAGTTGCCACTTTAGGGCCTTTTTCTTGCATTGCAGCTTTGCCCACATCGGGAAGGGTTGGGTTCGCTGGGTCACTGGCCAAAGTACCCGTTAGTGGAGTCCCCGTTTGAGGGGCGCTGACCCCCCCCCCCGCCCGCCCCCCCCTCCGCCCGCCCGGCGAGGCGGCGAGGCACGGCCGGAGGGTGTACGTCAGCGCGAAGGACGTCGGTGCCGGCACTGAGCTCTACGGCGGGCGCCGGGGTTCCAGAGACGGGGGGCAAGGCAGTTCTCGAGGGAGGGGAAGGTTCAGAGCCCCGAATCATCAGGGGTAACTCGGGTCAGGGATAACTCGGGTTCGCTTTTTCGGGAACCCGAACCCGAGTTACCCCGGACCCGAGTTACCCTGGACAACTCGGGCGTCCAGAGCCCCGAATCATCAGGGGTAACTCGGGTCAGGGATAACTCGGGTTCGCTTTTTCGGGAATCCAAACCCGAGTTACCCCGGACCCGGGTTACCCCGGACAACTCGGGCGTCCAGAGCCCCGAATCATCAGGGGTAACTCGGGTCAGGGATAACTCGGGTTCGCTTTTTCGGGAACCCGAACCCGAGTTACCCCGGACCCGAGTTACCCCGGATAACTCGGGCGCCCAAGTTTTCGAGGGAGGGGAAGGTACCCATAGCTCTGCCCTTCGGCTGCTCTCTCTTTTTTGGGGGCCTCCTGGGAGGCCCCCGTGGCCACCGCTGGACTCGCTTCGAAGTTCTGGTCAGGACGCACCCCTGGAGAGGTCCGGCGGGTGGCGGTATCGGCACCCTGTGGTTTCCTCACACATCGGGGTCAGTCAGAGACCCAGACCCCCTGGGGTCATGAAAAACACACGACGGGCGGTTTTTCATTCCTTTCGGCCTCTGTGAGGGTCTTTCAGCGGGCCTCGGAGGATCCTGCAGGATCCTGAAAGGCCCGACTGACCCATGTTCTGCACTGACCCGGGGCTGCAAGGCCCGACCCGTTCCGTGGGCCCGGTTTCTCATCGAGGAGGAGGAGGAGGAGGAGGAGGGAGGAGGAGGAGGAGGGAGGAGCAGGAGGAGGAGGAGGAGGAGGAGGAGGATGGAGGAGGAGGAGGAGGGAGGAGGAGGAGGAGGAGGAGGAGGAGGAGCTGAGTCGCTCTTTGACGGTCCCGCGGGTTCGGCGAGGAGGGCCCCCCCAGGGCCGAGAGTCGACCCAAAACCCGCCCGCCTCGATTGTATACACGACGCGACCGTGTCTGGGGATGGAGCCGTCGGGGGACGGGGCCGAGGGCTCTGCAGGAGCTCAGAGCCCCGAATCACCAGGGGCCTCCTCGGGGTAACTCGGGTCAGGGCTAACGCGGGTTCCCTTTTTCGGAATCCAAACCCGAGTTACCCCGGATAACTCGGGCGCCCAAGGAGCCCGTCGTGCTGGAACGGCCAGGGCTCGCCGGAGCTATAGCAGGGACTCGGGGGTTTTGCCCTCTCGCCGGGCGGGCACCGCGTGCGCGTGCTGGGCCGGCCTCGGCGTGGCCGTGTCCAGAGCCGAGAGAGGGTCGGACGGGGCTGGGATGAGGATGAGGCCCCAGCCACGATCGCGTCGTTTTGCAGTTTTCGGCCCCTGGGAGACCTCGCCGGGCTTCGGGACCGCAAGAATCGACTCGGGATGAAAAACCGGTCCCAGGGAAAGGATCGGGCTTTCCAGGGGCCCCGCAACGAAAAAATCAAGACGGCGCATTTCTGGGGCCGTGCCAGAGCGTTCCGGAGCGCTCTCAGAGCGTTCTGGGACGCTCTGCGAAGGCCGTGGCGACCGATGCTGTCTCTAGGGCCGCTGGATCGCAGGGGTTTGAATTGTCTTCACCTGCAGTTCTCCTTATTCTGGCTTCGTCTTGGGATCGGGGGTGTCCACGTGATGGTGGGATCGGGGGTGTCCACGCCGAGAACTCGTGTGTGGTACGTTCAGGTCTTGTTCCCAGGGTCCGTTGGGCTTTTGAGTAGGAGGTGCTGCCTCTCTTCCCACGCCTCTCCTTCCCGCTCCCCCCCTCCCCGTGATCAGCCGGCGCAGGGCTTGGCCCAATTCTGCTTGCGATTGTCTGGAGCGCCTGCCAGTTTCCATGCCGCTCTGTGCCCAGAGCGGCCGCCGCTTCGCAGGCATTACACGCTTGGCCCTTGACGCACGAACATAGTAAGTCGGGGGTGGGCAGAACCTAAAACGACGCGAAGATCGGGACAAAATCGGATCGGGATAACTCGAAATCTCTGAGAATCGGCGGGATTGGAGGATGTATTGGGCGCCGCGGCCGCTCCAGAGCGTTCTGGAACGCTCTGAGAGCGCTCCAGAACGCTCTGAAGCGATTTATCCCGATCCTAGCCTTGTTTTAGAACCCCCAACAGTGACACGTCGATTAGTGAATTGTCCATTTCCGCTTCTCGAGAGGGCGCCGTGGCCGTTATTCTCCAGGCTTGCGCCCGCCAGGTTTGGGCCTCAGGTTGTTTTCGCTAAACCACGTTTTACTGAAGGGGGGTCTGTCCGTCCCCGAGTTTGGAACTGGTGAGGGGTCGAGAGACCGATTTTGAGTTGTTGTTGTTGTTGTCTCAATTCGCCTTGCTCCGAGAGTATATGAGATCGGAGCCTCGCAGCGCATTGCCGATGCTGCTCGATGTCAAGCCCGAGTTTCTCGACGGCGCCTCGCCGAAGTCGCCAATGTAGCTTTGATGCGTCAGTGATGCGTCGACGATGCGGCGCGATCCTTCGACCCCACCTACGTACGTCCACTCCATCTGGGAGGCCGCTTGTGAGTGCTGCAGCCAAGACGCTGAGACAAGCACCACCCTGGTGAGCGTTTCTCTATTCATTATTTTGCCGATCGGCGCGGGCCCTCCCCCCCCCCTGGAGTGGATCTTGGCTGCTTTTTGTCGCCTGTTTCGAGCAGGTGGAGCCTCCCCCATAGGGCGCACTGCTGCAGACAATCGCACTAAGCAGAGGTCCGGAGCCAGACCCCCCCCTCCCCCCCCCTTCAGCTCAGTGTTAAGTCGGGCCTCTCCCTCTACAGGGGGAACATTCAACAATCGTGAAAAATAGTCTGGGAACATAGTTGTTTGAGTATTTTTGTTTTCCGTCCAAAATCCTTCTGTAGGGGGACAGGCCCGACCTGAGCCCAGTGTCGAAGCGCCGAACCAACAAACAACAAAACAAACAAACACGCTCGACTGTGCTCAGGAGGGGGCTCGAGAGAAGAGGGGAGGGGAGCACAGGAGCCAGGAGAAGAGGATGGGGAGGAGGGGGGAGGGGGGAGGAGGACGGGGCGACCACACTGCTCTGCCCAAAACGAGTGCCCAACCATCTCCTCCTCCTCCTCCTCCTCCTCCTCCCCCTCCTCCTCCTCCCTCCTCCTCCTCCTCCTCTCCTCCTCCTCCTCCTCCTCCTCCTCCTCCTCCTCCTCCTCCTCCTCCTCCTCCTCCTCCTCCTCCATCTCCTCCTCCTCCTCCTCCGCCTCCTCCTCCTCCTCCTCCTCCTCCTGGGCTGGGAAAAAACAGCGCTCGCCTCTGCTCCGGAGGGGGGGGGCTCCCGGCCTCTTCGGGGGGGGGCGCCCGACAGAGGCGCAGTTTTGGGCGGTGCAGAGCCTGCCCGTGGCCGCGGCGCGCGCGCCGTGGCCCGGCCGTGGGCCCCTGCGGTCGTCGTCGCCCAGCCTCCCCCCGTGGGGCCACGAGTGCACGCCCGTCGTGGACGGCAGGCCTCCTCCTCCTCCTCCTCCTTCTCCTCCTGCTCCTCCTCCCTCCTCCTCCTCCTCCTCCCTCCTCCTCCTCCTCCTCCTGCTTCTCTTTCTCCTCCTCCTCCCCCTCCCCCTCCCCCTCCTCCTCCTCCTCCTCCTCCCCCTCCTCCTCCTCCTCCTCCTCCTCCTCGTCCTCCTCCTCCTCCGTGGGGCCACGAGTGCACGCCGGTCGTTGAAAGCAGGCCTCCTCCTCCTCCTCCTCCTCCTCCTCCTCCTCCTCCTGCTGTGAGCTCGGCCTCGCTCGGACGTGGGCGCGGTGCTGCTGCTGCTGCTGCTGCTGCTGCTGCTGCTGCTGCTGCTGCTGCTGCTGCTGCTGCTGCACGCCGGTCGTTGAAAGCAGGCCTTTTTATCGGGCCGGACGGAAGAGGGGGATTGGGAAAGGGGGGGTTTACGAAATCTGCTGCGTGCAGCTGGTTTCGGCCCCACCGAGGGGCCCATTCCTCGGTACACGGGCGCCTCCGGCGCCGGGAGGCGCGGGGAAAATCCGCTACGTGCCGCGAGCACACGCGGGTCGTTGAAAGTAGGTATTTTGGGATGCCCAAATCTCAAGCAGTGGCGAAGCGTCCCGGCGTGCCTGTAGCCCTACCAAAGAATGCTCTAAGATATGTTTGTGGTTCCCACGAAATGTTCTTATAGCATTCCTGGCTGGGACTGTTTTGTTTTTACACATCGGGCTTATGCTCTAAGAACACGCAGGTCGTGGAAAGCAGGCCTTTTTTCGGGCCGGACGGAAGAGGGGGATTGGGAAAGGGGGGGGGTACGAAATCTGCTGCGTGCAGCTGGTTTCGGCCCCACCGAGGGGCCCATTCCTCGGTACACGGGCGCCTCCGGCGCCGGGAGGCGCCGGGAAAATCCGCTACGTGCCACGAGCACACGCGGGTCGTTGAAAGTGAGTATTTTTTGATGCCCGAACCTCAAGCAGTGGCGAAACGTCCCGGCTCGCGTATAGCCCCACCAAACAATGTTCTTATAGCATTTCTGGCTGGGATTGTCTTGTTTTAACACATCGGGCTCATGTGTTAAGAACACGCCGGTCGTTGAAAGTAGGTATTCTTGGATGCCCAAAACCTCATCTAGGGGAAGAAAACTGACATAAACATAACAACTCTGACGTCCGCGTGGACCTCCGAGTTTTTATGTTTATGTCACTTTACGTTCCCCTATAATCTATTTTAGGCGCCTCCTACTTCAAGAGTCGAGTGGTTTTCCTTCCTTCCTCCTCTTCAGGGGGCGGGCGGAAGTCCAATCTACTTCCGACGCCTTCCTACTTCATGTTTCTACCCACTTCTTCCGACCGGCGTGGGCTTTGATTAGGGGCGTGGGGGCAGCATTACAGTGGGGGCGCGCATCAAGAAACCATGTGCTTTTCGTCAGGGTATCCTTGGTTTCTTCGCTCCGCCCGCTGCGCGGTGACTTCGCGGCCCGCAGCCGTTGAAGAAGCTGCTGCGTTCAGGGCGCTCCCGGATTCCCCTCCGGCGCACCTCGCGCGCGGGTTTTCAGGGTTGGGTTTCTTGCGAGAGTTTCTTGCGGCCGCGCCCTCACTGTATGGCTGGGCTATATGCAAGTTCCTAGATTTCATCTCATGGCCCCCCCGAAGGGCGAAGGAGGAGGAAGGAGGGAGGAGGAGGATGAGAGGAGGAAGAGGAGAAGGAGTAGGAGGAGGGAGGAAGGAGCGATAAAGGAGGAGGATTGAAGGGGGAGGACGAGGCAGGAGGACGAGGCAGGAGGACGAGGCAGGAGGACAAGGCAAGAGGAGGGAGGCTGAAGAAGGGGGGAGGAATGGGGGAGGAATGAAGGGGAGGAACGAGGGAGGAATTTGGAGGAGGACCAGTGTAAACCCAGGAGTCAGCAACGATGTGGAGATTAGATTGCCCTCTAAGCTCCCTCTTCATAGCTTCCTATAACGGTTCATTCCCATTGTGGGAAATGCCTTGTTAGAAGGCAACTTTTTGAAGACCCCGGATCATGCCAAAACGTTGTTTTCGGGATTTCAATGCCACAGATCAACCTGATTTGTTTGCGTATTGAACCGTGCCAGAACGCAATTCTTGGGATGGCAACACCGCGAATCAACGTATCTCTTGCGCTCTCATAATCCTGCATCCTTCCAAAACGCAATTTCTGGTACGCTGACCATGGACATTCGTGAAACTCGCGGTAGATCGTAAAGTCGATTTTGCGCGGCGCTGAGGCGAGAGCCTCATTTTGATAAGGAACCGCCCTCAATCCGTGAAACTCTTGTAAAACGAATGCGCGCGGCGCTAAGGCGAGAGCCACATTTTGAGTTTTCAATCCGTGAAACCCTTGCACATGTTCAGCACAAGTGTGCGCGGCGCTAAGACGAGAGCCACACTGTGGGGGCGACTCGCTCTCCATCTGTGAAATTGCTGCCGATGTTTGAGCTTCAGGGTTCTGAATGGTGCAGAAGGCTCGGGCGAACGTCCGCCCCGCCCTAGCACCTGGCCTCGTGATGCGACAGGAAGAAGTTATTCTATTGCACGGCTGTGCTCTGGAGCTCGGACCTCTTGATGTTCGTTCGTCGTCGTCGTTCGCTCGCTCGTCCTCTCCCCCAGGCCACAGAGGAAAACTCCTGGAGGAAGGAGGCGAAAGCCTGCTGTCCCTCGCAGCTCCTTGGTACAAGAGCCAGGGCACGCGTACCATAGATGCAGCATCGATGTTGCAATACACCCTCCTGGCCCAATCCCCCCGAACGCTGGGCAGCTGGACGCCTAGGCTCCTACGCTCCCACAAGTTCGACTTTTTCATTACCAGGAGCGCACCCCTTCAACGACCAGCGACGTCTGTGCCCACCATTGTGGCGAGGTTCCCGCTTTGCAGAAGGGCTTGCCTTACACATGTCTGGTGCTTTACCTGGACCGTGAAAAGTCTGATCATGCATGTTGACGAGTTGCCTAGCGAAGCCCCACTTTCGTAGCAGGACCGCCGTCCCCCCCCCGTATGTGTGTAACCGTTGCGCATGTGTTTCTCGATTTCATCGAGCACAAAAGAACCCTCCATCTGGGCGGTTTGTTCTGACACATCTGCAGAGAAACACCCCCTGTTTACCCCTCCTAACGCAGGTCCCCTCCAGGAGGAGGACGAGGAGGAGGAAGAGGGCTCTTTTTGTTGGTCATCCTGTGGTCCTGGACCGCGAGGAATCTCTAGTGGCTGGTCCTGGCCCGCCCTGGATCGGGCAGCGCTGCCGCTTTCCTGCCAAACATGACATGAACCAACACGCGAATGTGCGCAACGCTGAGGCGTGAGCCCCATTTTCGTCTGTCGTCCGTCGTCCGTCGTCGTCGTCGTCATCGTCGTGCCGTCCCCCTCCTCTCGGCCACTGGGCTCCTACTCGCTGGTAAAACAAGTGGGCCCCTTGTGGAAGCCGGGCAGCGCTCTATCCTTGACACTGCTGCAAGATTCTGAGTGGACCGCGCGCGGTGCTCGCGCGGTAGGACCAACTTGAAAAAGGCCCGCCCTCCAGTCGTGAAGCGTCTGCGCCACGTGAAGGCCAATGCATTTGGCGCGGAAGCGAGAGCTCCACTTACAAAACGACCCGCCCTTTGCCGTGAAACTGTCGCCCATCTTTGGAACTGATGCAGATTTCTACGGCGAAAGTGTACTTCGCCCAGGCGAGGGCCGCGTTGCACCCCCTCAATGCTTGAACCGGTTGCGAGTGTTGAGGACGATGCGCAGAGGCGGAAACCACAGTTTGAAAACGACCCGCCGCTGCATTCATGAAGCTGCTGCTGAAGCTGCTGCAATATTGTAAGACGAACGCACGTTGTGCTAAGGCGAGATCCACACTAATGAAACTCGTTCCTCTCCGCAGTATGAGCATTCGTCCCCTCCATCCTCGAGGCACCTACGAAAATGTAAGACGGATCTGCGCGGCGCTAAGGCGACCACCACATGTTGAAACCTGTCCGCCCTACATCAGTGAAGCTGCCGCGAATGCCCATCTCCATGCTCAGAAACGGTGGGGAGGTTCAGGCGAACCGCCTGGCCCGCCTGGGCGACGCGTCGCCTTGGGGGGGGGGTGCGACGGGGCGGAGCTATTCTTTCGAAAGGAATGGGATGGCAGGAAGAGGGCTGGCGGCCCACGGGTCAGGAGCTGCCCCGTCCGAGGGGAGGAACATACTGGGGGAAACCACTGGGTGGTGGCAGTAGGCGCCACTGGAGGAAACCACTGGGTGGTGGCAGTAGGCGCCTTCAACAAGGAACGTCAGAGTTCTGGAAGTACGCTGGCACCCCCCCACACGGCCGCCTTCGTTTCGTTGGCCGAGGGGCCGCAGGGAAGGCCTCGGCGCCCTCTGGTGGTGACGGACGCCGCCGTTATGGGAGGAGGGAGCGGCGAGCCCGAACGTTTTGCTGCAGGAAGCCCCGCCAGGCCGTCGTGTCCGCCAAGTCCGCGTGCTCCGGCAGAAGGGAGGGGAGTAGAGGGGGAGGGGGGCGAGGATGGATGTTGCAGTTTTCGGGGCGTGACGTGTGAATTTGTTTGATGCCTCCGAGGGCATCCCAGGGAGGGGGGATGGTTCAGGGTGTTCGTCGGGAGTGTAAGTATCTAAAAGCCATCGGCCCATCCCTCCTCCGTGCCGGGGCTCTTGGGTCATGGTCCTCGAGAATGTTCGTTGGGATCTCGCGGGGGGCCTCGTAGATGCAGTGCTGAAGTCTCTTTGGGATTGTTTTGTTTTGGGGCCTGTTGGTACGTCTTTTGGGCCTCTTGGGAGCCTCTTGGGGTCTCTTGGGGCCTCCAGGGCGTCGCAGGGGGGGGGGGGGGGTGTTTTGGTGTCCGCCAAGTCCGCGTGCTCCGGCAGAAGGGAGGGGAGTAGAGGGGGAGGGGGGCGAGGATGGATGTTGCAGTTTTCGGGGCGTGACGTGTGAATTTGTTTGATGCCTCCGAGGGCATCCCAGGGAGGGGGGATGGTTCAGGGTGTTCGTCGGGAGTGTAAGTATCTAAAAGCCATCGGCCCATCC